GACTCCAAAGAGTGATCTTCTCACATTAAAAAAAGTGTGAAATGTGAAAAATTGCAAAATAAAACCAACTGATCTTCTTAAAGCAAATTGTAAACCATTAAATGAGTGACATCTGATTTTTGCCTCATTGCCACCGTTACACTTATCAATAATTCAGAAATGGCTTCAGTTTCCCAAAGGGGCAATTAGACAGACAAGGGAAGACCATGTGGTTCCAAATATGAGGCTAAGGACCCTGCAGGAGACCATGTGATGACGGAAACATTCTTCTCGTTGACATTATCTCCCGATCTTTTGATGATGCAGGTCATTAGATGAAGAGGAAGCCAATCTTCGCTCCACAAAGAGTGATGAATGAAGAAATATTTATAGTCTTGATTATGTTACAGGCTAAACACTTTATCAGTATGTCTTCATTAGTGTAAGCTGGCGAGTCATTAGACTTTTTTAAGCATTAACCCTGTCTTCAAGTCGACCATTAGTTGCCAGACAAAGGAGATGCCGGAAGAGAACGAAACAGCTCTTGTTTGTTATATGATTTAAATAATACAATTATTTCCTGATTGTTATTTTCTGTAATTATGTAAATAATAATGACTGAAATAGATGAAGAAGGATACGAGGTAAGGACAAAAAGATCAGTTAGTTTGAGCCTCATGAGAAGTTGGTGGTAAAAAATCTTCGGTTGAGCTGTGAAAAAATCACAAAAATGCAAAAAAAAAAAAAAAAAAAGTCCTCAACCTCCACTGTCCCTTTATGTCCAAAAAAAAGTCCTTGACATTTACAGACATTTAAAGACATTTACAACCAGAGACCCCTCTCCCCCGCCCCCATGTGGTATGTCTGTCAGTGTATATATCTATATTCATCTCTATGTGTGTGTGTGTGTGTTTTCTGACCAGTGTACAGAATTTCTCCGGTGGATTTCCACAGGTGATCCCAGGAGGGTCAACTTTGATCTGCATCACCTCCTTCATGTTGGCAGGTGGAGGCTGACAAGCGTAGAACTCCCAGCCTGGCCCAGCCTCCGAGACACGCAGGAACCGACACAGGTCAAACTGACCTCCTGTCTGACTCCGGCTCGGCACTGGCAGGAGGATGAAGAGGACGAGGAGGAGAGGGGACATGGTGGGCTGAGCGTTGGACAGACAACAGGTATGTTAGGAAGTCAAATCTCCACTGGTTCATTTCTCTGCCACCACAAACAGGGTGGCTTTCATGGTGAAAATAATGAATTACCTTGGTCACCATCCATCAGGTGGCGCCATCACCTGAGGGTCCTTCTGGTAGTCCAGTTTTCTAAACAAATGTAATAAGTATTGAGTAGTGACTAATGTTTGGGAACCCCTTGCCATAAGATATCGTCACAGATAAGTTTTGAGAATAACACATGTTTATCGGACTCCTCCGACGATGGATGACAAACATTTGGCTTCATAAACATGCAGTCCAATAATTATCATGTTTTTTCTGACCTACCTACAGTCCAGAACTATCACCTGTGACACTTTCTGAGCCAAAAGTAGGGAGGAGAATCGGGAAGCTGCAACAATTCGAAGCCACAGATCTCAAATCATCAATTCAGGTTTATTAACAGACAGTTGATGTGTCCAACTAGTAAATCTGCCTCGAAACGTTTTGCAGGTATCATTTAAAAATGTTGGTAATGATTTCATTCTCATAATGACTTCTGTATATCTGCTTTCAAATCGTTTGGGTCGAAGGAAGGTCTACAACAACAAACAGACTGACAATCTGACGGGAATCTGAATTCATCACATCTCCTTCTACCACTGAGAAAGAAGTGAAATGTTTGGAGTCCTCGAGGCACCAGGGAAATAAGGTCAGATATGAACAGAACCTGTCCTGTCTGTCTGTTTGTTTGTTTGTTTCTGTGTCTGTTCTGATCACAGAGGTGATTAAAGTGGGACACAGATGACACAGACCGTTCTCTTTTAATAAAACCTGTATCTCTGTGGTACACATCTAAAACCATTTTACCTACTTGACAAAAGTACTCAGACCACAGAATTTTGAACAATAACAACTTTTGAAATATCTTTTCTCAAAACATCCAAATCATAACGACGCCCCTCTCTCTGACCTCTGTATTTCTTTGTGTTACTCACCGGCGTCTCCTGTAGTCTTGATAAGCTGATTTAACACTTGACCTTACACTTCTGAAAAAATCTTTTCTTCTTTTCTTCTTGTTTACTTGTTCAATTTTTATTTGTATCCTTTATCGCTCATCTTCTTCCTCCTCTGCTGCCTCTGCTGCTGATAAATTCTGTTCTGTTGATTCACACCAAACTAAATCTCCTCCACTGTCAAGTCCTATCTTTCTCTCCTCACCTCTCCCCCTTTAAACCATGAATTCTCTCCCTCGCTCTTTCTCTCTCTCTCTCTCCCCCCTCCCTCTCTCTCCTGCTGTGATTACTCTCTTTGTCTGCTATGCCCAGTCTCTCTCTGGCCCTTTAAACTGGCATTTCTCTCTCACAAACCAAATCAGAAAAATGAATAGCTAAATATAACTAACCTAAATAATTACTACTACTCATAATAATAATAATAATATTATTATTATTATTATTATTATTATTATTATTATTATTATTATTATTATTGTTATTATTATTATTATTATTATTATTGTTATTATTATTATTATTATTATTATGGGTAGTAGTAGTAATAGTAGTAGTGCTGTAGTAGTGGTAGCAGTAGCAGTTGTAGCAACACTATTAGTATTAATTATTCAGAATAAATTTAATGTCAACCATGTTCTACTTTACATTTTTTCTCAAATCTTATAAACAAAAACCCAAACATTTGTACAGTACTAGACAAAACAAATGTCTCTTTACAGTTCTTTTTGGACAACTAGCATTCTGATTCTGCCCCTTATTAATAGCAAAATAAATAACTTTATTTACAATTTTTTAAATACTTAGAAAAAAATTAGAAAATTAGAAAAAATACTTAGAATTAAAATAGCTTGGATTTGCAAAGAGAACAATACTGTCATTATTTTGTTAAATGTTAATAAATTTGTTTTTTTCCTTCTCAGACGCCATAACACTACGTCATAACTGAGCGCCACTTTCATAGAAACAAAGAAAATGGCGGACGTTGTAAACGTCGGTGTGAATCTGGAGGCTTTTTCTCACGCCATAAGCGGCATCCAAGCTCTACGCTCCAGCGTAAGCCGCGTTTTCGAGTTCCTCAAAGATGGGATGAAGAACCGAGAGACACTTGAGGGCCGAGAGAAGCAGTTTATAGCCGAGTTCCAGGACAACCTGCAGGCGGTTAACAGAGACCTCAAGTAAGTCAGTGACATCGGGTACCACTAGAAATGTTTGGAACAGGGCTCTGCTTTTTCCTTTTAAACAAAACTATCCACGACTAGAACATTATATCACCCAGTGTGGTATGTAGATAGCAGTGAGGCCTGCACGTTCTAAAGACTCTGATTTAGTGGTAAAAACGGTTAAAAGGGTCTCCTCCTCCGGTAGACGTACTGACTGATGGATCGAGACGGAACTAAACACGTCAGCTGTTCCTCTGTTTGTTAAAACGCGTTACTCTGATTATCAAGTACTTAATTGTTGTTGGAAAGTCTGGAGATTATTATTATTTTTATAAAGGATAGGTAATCAGCATCGACCCTGCTGTTTCTGTGAAACACTGCTGTGCTGCAATGCTAACATTTGATATGAATTAAAACACTTTCTTCGTCTTCCACCTGTCTGTCTTAGTGAGTTGGAGCGTCTCAGTGGTCTGGTTGGACGCCCCTCGGAGTCTCATCCCCTCCACAACAGCGGCCTTCTTAGTCTGGATCCAGTTCAGGACAAAACTCCTCTGTACTCTCAGCTGCTGCAGGCCTACAAGTGGTCCAACAAGGTAAACATTAGCACAGGCTAATCAACCAGACTGCTGTTTCATGAAAACAGCCTTACATTATTAGACAAATAGATAGATAGCACTTTATTATGGTTCCAGAGATTTTAGTTAAAATCACATCAATAAAATACACATTCTGTATTATATAATACTATATGGCAGTACTACTAACATTTACTGTGTACATATGTGTACTGTTAGCGCTGAACATCCATGCAGCAGACTTCATGTTCTTGGATTGAGTTACTGACTTGATTTATTAAATATAATTTGTCAAAATATTATCTACATTTATATTTATTTGTGAATATATTCTGGCTAAATATATTTTCATCAAAATAACTTTTTTATTTATTTTCTTTTATCCTAGCATCATTAATTACAATAACTGCTACTACCTTTCTAATTTATATTTATTATGTGCATTTCTCTTATGTAGGTTACAATGTAGATAGATGGTATGTATTTTATTTTCTAATAAACATTGTGTTTTCTTTTTTATTTGGTAATTTTCATTTGAATTTATTTACCGCTACTTGTGTTTATTATTCTTTTTAGCAATATTTATATATATATAAAATATCTTGTTATATTTTGGTTGTTAAGTTCAACAGGAATATATGGAATTTAAGTAATTTAGTTTTTTTCCATCATCAAGCAGCCATACAATAACATATTAATCATGTTCTGTTTTGAAATAGAGGAACATTTTCAAAAAAATTATGAATACATTCTGTGACTCAAAGTGTTTTATTTTAAATTCAAAGTTGTTCCAGTTTAGTTTTTTTTTTTTAACATGATGTTCTTTGTTGCATTTCTCTGTTTTTCTCTTCATCTTCTCTCTGTTGTTTCCTGCCTGTTCTGTTTAAACAATGCCACCCCGGTCATGCCTCTGATTGGCCAGGGATGGGGCACCAACATTGCCATTCACTGAGACTGTCAGATTTCAGAGAGATTGTGAATTGAATGCAACATAAAAAGTACCTTTGTCCGTCGGTTCACCTCCTTCGCTTTGATGTCAAGTGATCTTTGGTTGATTGACCAGCTGAGTCTGTTTGACTAGTAATCAACTAAGTACTGACTTTACATTGCCAGTCTTATTGATGTCACGTTGCCACGGCGACCGGCAGCTGCCACTACAGCATCAAGATTACTTCACTGTGTTTCCACCACATCTGATGTTAGAGGAGCAATTGCATCTGGCACACACACACACCCACACACACACACACACACACACACACACACACACACACACACACACACACACACACGCACGCACGTTCCACTGAGTGCATTTATTTCTTTGTGTATTTCTTTTGTCTGTGTGTGTAGTTGCAGTACCATGCAGGTCTGGCCTCCAGTTTGTTAAACCAGCAGTCGTTGAAAAGGTCAGCCAATCAGATGGGAGCTTCAGCCAAGCGGAGACCAAAAGTTCAGCCCAGTACTCTGGTACTACCTCCTCAGTGAGTAGTGCTAATGCAATAGTACACTACACACACACACACAAATATATATATGTATATACAGTATGTGTGTGTATATATGTATGTATATATCTCTCTTCACAGGTATGTTGATGATGTCATCTCTCGTATTGGGCGAATGTTCCCTGATATGACCATCGAGTTGTTCAGACCTAACGGCACGTCTGCAGTACTACTAGTACGAGTTCTACTCCTTATTACCAACAGTGTTGATACAACGTGAAGTCAACACCAACACTGTCTCACTCAACTCTGTTTGACCTCTCCCTCTGTCAGGTGACCTTGGGCAAGGTATTTAAAGCACTTCTTGTCATGCGTTCGCTCTTCATCGACAGAACCCTTGTTCGAGGATACAACGAGAATAATTACAATGAGGACGGAAAGGTCAGAGGTCAAAATCCAAGTGATGTTTCACGTTCATAACTTGTGTAATTTTTTTATTTCTCTTCGTGGTCGTGGTTGATTTTTTTTTTTTTTTTTTCCAGCTGGACATCTGGACCAAGTCTAAGTACCAGGTCTTTCAGAAGGTAAGACAAAATCGTACTCTCCAGACCATACGTCGCACTAGGGTACTAGTCGTATCTGTCCAAATAAATACGTAGTAAAGTTGCACTTGTTAAAAAGTCACGTTTATTTTCAAAATATTTTGTAAAAACTCAAGAACAATTGTTTAATTTTGTTTAAACTACAGCCGAAAAAACGCAGGATAAATATATTAGCATGAAAAGTCAACAAAGGTCAACGAGATCCTGATTTTATTCCCCATCACTGGATCTCTTGAATCACTTCATCCTAATCACTTGTTAACAATTTTACCAACGCCTGATGAAGAGGAAATGCTGTCTCCGCATGAGTGTGGACTGTGCCCTCTTATGGCCATATATGATACTGTATGTTTTTGTGTATAAGTCGCCTCTGGATATGAATTGCAGCATCAGCTACAGCTACTTATACATGTGCAACTTATACTTACGATAAGTCTGTATTAGTCTATACGCACAAACCTTGTGTCAGGTGACTGAGCTGTTGTGATTGGTTGGTACATTCCCAGGTGACAGACCACGCCTCCACAGCGCTGCTCCACTACCAGCTGCCCCAGATGCCTGATGTAGTGGTTCGATCTTTCATGGTGAGACATCACTTACCTGTGTTTCTGTCACAAACACCGTTGCTCTTCCTGGAGCTTTAATTTTTTTTCCTTTTACTTGTTTCACCTGCAGACCTGGTTGCGTAGCTACATAAAACTCTTCCAGTCTCCATGTCAGCGCTGCGGTCGTTTCCTTCAGGACGGACTTCCTCCGACATGGAGGGATTTTAGAACTCTGGAAGCTTTTCACGACACATGTCGCATGTGAACAGTCTTTTTGTTTTGTGTACAGTTTTAATAGTTTTAATAAAGTCCATTTTTTTTCTTACTGAATAACTACTGTTTTTATTGGCTGCAGGTTTTTAAAAAAAATTTTGGCAAATTTTTAAATTAACATTTATTCTAAAATAAAGGTAAATGTTGAACTAAAAAAACCAAACCAAATAATAATTAAAAATGTAAATATTTGTACTGTAGACAGGATCATTGGAGAGTCCTCCACCACCTGCATTGACACATAAGAAAAATATTCAAAGTGAAAACGATTTGCTGCTCCCTGTCCGCCCATATTAGCTTTTGCATACCATGTGGGACGCGCCCTCCACTTTAGGAACCAAATTAAAAAGTGTTTATTATTCTGATAAGCATGAGTCAGTTTCCTAATGAAGTTTGTTTCCCGCAGAGTCTGAAGCTCTGAGACCCTTAGGTACTGCCAACAGTAACCACTGACATTCATCAATTATTGACCTGATCATCCACTGAACCACAGCACTGATTGTTACAGCTGCCAATAAGGTGATGTCATGGTGGAGGTGAATTTCATGTGTAAAAAATCCTTGCGCATACATATATATATATGTATCTATATATATATACATATGTGTGTATGAATATGAATATATATATATAACATATATAAATGTATATATATGTATATATATGTGTATATATATATTTTCATATATGGATATACTACTCTTGTACAGCACACCTATTGCAAAAATCACACACACTGGTGACTGTTCGGTTTTGGACCAAGATCTATTAAAGATCTATTACAGTATGTAGAATTTACATTATATTTATGTCATTTATAAATGTCAACTTTTACCTTGTCTTCTCTGTTTTCTTTAAAATATATAATAGGAAGTATTACTACATCATATCAATATTGCTTAAAAAACATATAAGGTGAAGGATGTGTTTGTGATATATTACTCTGGTGCAGAAACTAAAATATTCTAAAATATACTGTACTGTATATTCACACAGCTTTACTGAAGATAAATGTCACAGAATTTCATATTTTTCCAAATGTCAAATGCCATGAGGACTGAAGATTATTTTCTTATTTTCGATCAGGGCCGTTCTTAAATGTCCAGACAGGATTCTGATCATGGCGTTCGGTACAGTAAAAACTACTGTGTAAATGGAGGAGGGAGGGTTGGGTTTCTGACAAAATAAATGTCACGTCCGTGTGATGAAAGAAAAAAAAAGTGACATTAAAGCCAAGAAATCTTCACACTCTCCCTGAACCTTTATCTTTAGAACAGCAGTGGAAAATGTCGACGGTGACGCTGAAGGAAACGCGAAAGGTTTGAGGACAACGAGACTAAAGGTCAGAGGTTTTCTTCTTTTCTTCTCTTTTTCATTCGTTATACTTTATCATTTTTTTTCTTTTTCCATTTCTCTGCTTCTCTTTTTTCTTCTTTACTCTTTTCTTTCTAATCATTTTCCTCGTTATTTTCTAATTCCTCTCTTGTTTGTTTACTTTTTTGTTCTTTTTCTTTTCTTCTTCCTTCCTCTCTAACGTTTTTTTAAGCAATTTTTTTTATTAATTTTTTTTTTCTTCTGGGATTTTTTTATGCTGTTTTATAGCTGCGAATTTTTTTTCTTACTATGACGTCAGTCTTGCGTGTAAAACTGAGACGGTGAAAAAGCACCGCTCGCTGGATGACTTATGTAATCACAACTGCTTAGCTTGTAAAAAGAATGTATTTTTTGTTTTTATTTATTTATATTTATATATATAAGCAGTGATGACATCATCACAGAGACAAATTTAACTGCAACACGCAATACATATATAAGTATATGTACATATAAAAACATATACGTAGAAATATTATGGCATGCCGTTCAGGTGGTTAATCTTTGAATATATATACAAAAATCCTGAATATATATACAAAAAATTCAAACCCTTTTGACCACAGTGCCCCAATCGGGGCGGATCTACGCCTGCTACCACCGCCGGCAGGGCTCCTGTATCTTGTGCCCACGTAGCGGGGCGTAAAAAGTATTCTAGAAAATCACAGCAATGCGAGACAAGCAGCTTCGATATGAACGTCTTTTTTTATTCACTCTTCGCTGCTTCTCTTCTCTCCTTTTCGCTCTCTTTCTTTTTCCCTTTTTTACAGATCACGCTTCACTCCCAACGCAGAAAAAAGAATGAACAATCCGGTACAGAACAACACATTTTCCGCCAGTCGAAAAGGAACTTGTGAACAAATCAATATTTGTTCACAACACAGTACACTACGTCATATGACAGCTATCAAACAAAATTTCTTCAAATAAAAGTTAACATAAATCACTCTTTGCATTACTGTTGCTCTTTTCCTTTTTTGGAGACGTAAGTAATGATCGTCAGCACAATGGACAGCGTTATCAAATAATAACATATAGAAATAATATATTTCCAAACAAGTATTTATAACGAATTATAACAATTTTTATCACCCTTAAATTATCATTACGTTACTCTGAATCCCCCGGTGATTCAGTGATCTTAGATCGTTAAGATTATTTTATGACTGTGATCTGTTCTTATTCTCTTTAACGTATTTATTACATTTTCTTTTGTAATACTTGGGTTACAAATATGACATATGCAGGGGCTGTTTTATAGGGATCCTGTGCCGCCTGCTCGGTGGTAGCAGGCGCAGCTGCGCACCGGTACGAACAGTGTGGTCAAATACGCTTCATATTTTTGTATATATATTCAGGATTTTTGTATACAGTATATATTCAGACTTTCTGTATATAAAGTCGGGATTTTTATATATATACTCAGACTTTCTGTATATATATATTCAGGATTTTTGTATATATATTCAG